GGGGGGGGGGGGGGGGGGGAGATTAGAATCTTCAGTGTTTTCACCACTTCAGAATTGTCAGAATCTTCAGCGTTTCAACCCTCCCCCCTTAAAGAAACAAAACATGAGGAGGCAGGGGGGGCGATTCAAAATCTTCAACGTTTTTACCACTTCAGAATCTTTAGCGTTCCTACATACTCGGATAAGTGGGGTGTACTTCAGAATTTTCAGCATTTTCACCTCTTCAGAAATGTTAAGAATGTTCAGTGTTTCTCTACACTCAAATAAGGGGGTGCAAACAGTGAACATTTTGAGGAGTTATTCAATGTAGGGGCATTCAATATTCTCAACTTTCTCAACCGGATACATTCACAACGTTGGAATCGTCTGAATGTACCTGGCTCCTAAAGAGGCGCGCAAGTACTGACAAAATATTCGGTCTTTGCATTCGCCCGATCCCCGCCGGCGGCCCCACCCCATCCTTGATCACCATGGTTTGGGGGGCGGGGGGGGGGGCGACATCCATCCCCTCTAATGCCTGGAGGGAGACAATAAAATTATTTTCGCATGAGTCTCCTATATAAGCCATGGAGTAGTGGTAGGTAGGTGGTGAAAGTGAATTGGAAGAATTTGAATGATGATGAAAGATTTGAAAAAAAAAAATAGCGTAGTTAATAACTAAAAAAAAACGAGAAAAAAAACCTTCGTAGTGACCATTTTTTTTTCCTGGTGAATTGCAACTCCCTCGAGTACCCGATTTTTCCTTCAAAATGTAAGAACTGCACTCTTAACCCACCAGTACCTTTCCCATATGTCGGCCGTGAGTAGTGTCGGCCCGACCCGGAAAGCGCACTGTACTCCTCTGTAAGCCGTAACGGGGGTCTCGGTACGGGTTGCGCATACGAACGTACGAACGGCCATTCAATCGTACGGACGGGTCTCGTCTGAACGTGCCTGGGCCCGGTGGGTAGGTGACAGGGGGGGGGTGACCCCCAGGGATGCTAGGGGGGGTCTCAAGGGGCCCCGTACTATTAAATAAAAAATAAAAATTATTGTCGGAAAAAAAAAAAAAGCAAAATCGAATGAATATACCGCTAGAACATGGAAATATACACTTCCACAACTTTTTTTTTTTTTTGTCTGTGGGTGTGTGTGTGTGTGTGTGAGGGAGAGAGAGGTTAAGTCTCCAACCTCTCAGCTGGCCTCATGGTACTTCCATCGAATGAATGAGCAAAATCGAATCAATCTACTGCTAGAACATCATGATGAAAATATACCCTGCCACACTTGTTTTCGTGTGTGTGCGCGCGCGCGTGTGTGTGTGTGTGTGCGTGTGTGTGTGTGTGTGTGTGTGTGTGTGT